GGCGGTTGGCTCATTCACGATTGGTGCCGGCGTGAATTCCTTTGCAGGTTCTGCCTTCTCAGGATTTTCTGGCGTAAATGCTGACAAGGGCTCTTGTACATTAGGTGCTGTGGAGGGTGATTCGGGTGTCAAAGGCGCCATGGTGGTGGACTCCGGTGTTACAGGTGCCGTTGTAGGCTCATCCACGGGACACGGCGTCGCTGGTGCTGTCGAGAGCTCCTTTGTGGTCTCCTCAGCAGATGTGAGAGTGGCAGGTTCTGCGTTTGGCTCTTTCACAACTAGTGCCGGCGTGAATTCCTTTGTAGGTTCTACCTTCTCGGAATTTCCTGGTGTAGGTGCTGACGAGGTCTCTTGTAAGTTAAGTGCTGTGGAGAGTAATTCGGGTGTCAAAGGCGCCATGGTGGTGGACTTCGGTGTTACAGGTGCCGTTGTAGGCTCATCCACGGGGCACGGCGTAGCTGGTGCTGTCAAGGGCTCCTTTGTGGTCTCCTCAGCAGGTTTGGGGTTTGCAGATATCGCCGTGGGCTCCATCATGATCAAATCCGGCGCAAGTCCATTCGTAAGCTCTGCCATTTTAGGTTGTTCCGGGGTCGATGCTGACGCGGGCTCTTGTAAGTTAGGTGGCGTGGTGGCAGGCTTCAACGTCGCAGACGCCATTGTCGCAGGCTCTGGAGTTGCAGGTGCTGTCGTAGGCTCTTCCTTCGAAGATGCCGGTGAAGGCAATTCAGAATTAGGTGTCGATGGGGCGTTCCCAGTCGGACACGGTGTTGCAGGTGCTATGGCAACCTGTTGCATAAGATCTGGTGTTCCAGGTGCCGTCGTAGGCTGCGCTGTGGGCTTTGGTATCGCATGTACCGTCGATAGCTCTACCGCAGGCCCCAATTTTGCAGAAATTGGTGCATTTATGTATACTGGCGCTATCGTCAGTGGCGAGTTAATGGTAGGCTTTTGTGTCGTTTGCGGAGCGGCTGTCAGCGTTGGATTTAATGTGAGTTGCGGCATCGTGGAGTGGGACGCTGTGGATGGTAATTCGGTACGAGACATAAGAGGTGGGGTCTCCATTGAGGACTCTAGTGCTGGTGGCTTCATTACTGACACCTCTGCTGTAGGTGATATATTTGCTGGAGGCTTCGTGTTTGGCTCTGAGACCGCTGGCGAATCATATAAAGTTGGCATCATTAGCGTCTCCTTGGGTGATATGGTTGCTAACAGTACTTTTTCAGATGCACATGCGATTGGTGCTTCCGTCGCGACCGGAACTTTTCCGCAATCGTAAAGTTCTTTCACCATTGTGGTCTGCACAAACCAATCGTTATCGTAGTCTTTGTTAACATCAGAGCTCGTATCAATGTTTTCAACCACGTCATTGCTTCTGTTCATCTTCCATGTCGGACATTTAATATCTTTGGGCGATACAGTTATTATAAAACTCTCATCACCACATCGAAGGGATGGCAACACACATCCCCACTGAGAGAAGCTGATAATGCGGCATTCAGCGTCTTCAGGTGCCACACAAGACCCATTTTGATACGATAAATGAGAATCATAACAATCTGCTACTGCCACATCGCCTTGAATTGGACAAGCCATGCCAGCAGGCATAGCGCCTACACCAGAGCATGGCATTCCTCTCGATTCTAAAATTGCATATGTTGCATCACCACATACACTCACATCTATCGCACTAGCAAGCTGCACGCCTGATGCTGTAAAGCTTAGTACTAGCGAAAGACGCATGAATTACTTGATCTTGTGATAGAATGTTCGCGGCAGAGCTAAATAGAATGGATTGTGCGTATACGAATCATGATCATAAAGCGGACACAGTGACAACCCAAATCGCACGACACGCCATAAATTTTCGTGTACTATCTTCTATCAGCATTAAATCTTACAGTCTTGTCCCTTCATAATGATGTATAATTATGAAGTACCATGTTCTTAAAAAAAATAGCTTATTATAACGTATAGTTTTTGATAAGAAGACAAGTTGCAAACGCTATCAATGCGGTGCTCCCGTTTACTTTCCACGGCGACGCGATCACTTCATGTGAGTCCAATCGCTTCTTCGTCCATTGCAGAATCCGCTATCAGTTCCGTAGCTGGCGCACCTCAATGTCGAGTACTGTATGACTCACATGTGCCCACGACGCCGCTGCAAAAGATCTTGCTATCTATCACATCGGCACTGACAGTATTTGCAAACCCAGAACGTGGTGATATGCTGGCTGCTTTGGGCGAAGTTACTGGTCGTGATGCCTTACGTAGCATTCATGCACGAATGTGCTCTAATCCTGTTGGTGCACGAATTCTAGCCGAAAAACCTGTGATTCGAAGTGACAAGATCGAGATGAACTGCTTGCGTGCACTTTCTACTGACTCATTTGGATACCATTACGCCACATACATGGATACACACGATTTTCATGCAGATGATCGCTCGCTCGTACGCTTTGTGGACGATCCCGAACTCGCGTATGTCATGCAGCGCCATCGCGAGGTGCACGACTTTTGGCACACGTTGTTCGGCGTGCCTCCGACAGTATTAGGTGAAATTGCGCTTAAATACGTCGAAATGGTGCACTCGATGCTGCCAGTCAGTGCATTGAGTGCATTTGTCGGCCCATTACGTCTTTCTAGAGAAGAGCGTTGCCTTCTAATGAACATTTATGTGCCATGGGCAAGCCAAGCGGCCAGATCGGCACATTCACTACACTGCGTCATGTACGAAGAAGAATTTGAGACACCAATTGAAGAATTACGTCAGCGTCTGAACATCATAGTTGCTCCTCCATTCAAAAACCAGAAAGATAACATGCACTGAAGAGAGATGTTTTATTGATCAAATCTGTACATTTGCGATTTTATGACTTGCCTATACCAAATAGATCGAACTCGTCGCTATGACGGGTATCTTGATTAGTCTCCAAGTAATCTGCTAGTGTCTTTGACTTGCCTTCTGTCATATGTCCATTATTCGTATGCCTCGTATCCACTTCATCTTTATTCGGCTGAATGTCGTTTGACAGCTGAGTCGATACTGATTGAGACTGAAAGTCAGTTTTAGCACAAGACGACACATGTAACTCTCGCGTATTTGACGAAATGAATGGATTGTGAGCTTCTTCGCACCGAAAATCATATGAATAGTTCATGTCCATGATTGGTTTGATCGGAGACTTTATTGTGGAACCAGCTTTTGCATTTGAAGACGTCAGACTTTCTGACAAAGCTTTTGCCGGCAATGGAAAGAGTTCGGGGTATTCTGCACCTGACTCGTTATATGCACTACTTTCTCCGTCACTTGTTAAGCTGACTGCAAGATTATTGAACCCGTTCGATTGTCTTCTAGCGGCAAGTTGAGCTGATGACTTGAAAGCAGCATATTTTGGAATGGAGTTAATGTCCAAACACTCGTACTCGCCCAAACTCACAGGACTTAACGGGTCCTTTGGAAAGTCTCCATCGCATCTGAGTTCCTCACATGTATATTTCGGCAATCCATCCGATGAGCTATGCACACTGTTATCAGTCGAGGCATCTGTAGTACTCACTGTAGCGTATGGATCGACAGGACGTCGATATGAGTCGGTAAATGGGTTCATTGCGTCATTATCTACTTGAGATTGTAGCTTAGAATTCGACACCGATTGAATGTCGCGGAACATTCCTGATATAGCTCCTGATAATTCGGTACCAAGAGCCGACATCTCTGAGCTCAAATCTGTGGCCTTTATCGACTGAGTAGCACGTGATGTATCATTCGATACAATTGCTTGTTTCCCTTTCTTCGGATTCCTCAACGTGACAGTTGCCGACAAAATTTGCAGATATGCATTGAGCTCGTCTCGACAGCCTTCAGCCCCTATTTGACCTGTCACTGCGTACTCTGTTAGCAATGTATTTGCTAACAGCACAAGTTCGTTGATCTGGTTCAGTCGCTTCTCCATTTTGCTGTTCCAGTCACCCATTCCAACAACCCAGCGACCTGCATCAGCGACATACGCGACATTTGACCTAGCATCATGTAAATGAAATCATTTTTTGAATTGTAAACATTGCTTAAAACTGTTACAACATACTCCAATTCGTCGCGTATTTCGTCGCGATATTCGTAGCAGCGCTGAAATAAAAGTGTTGCGGTGTTCACGACACCTAATTGTAAGCGATTAAATTGAAATGTTAGACAAAATTTGATGTCAGATAGTGACGTACATGCTGGTAAATTTGATTGCATGCGATGGAAGAAACCCTCAAAGTAAATCACCTGGCAGTAAGCAGAACTTAACGAGTTAAAGGCATTCGATTGATAGACTACATGCAGTAAAGTTGGTGTATTCATCCTGACCTTCTTCATAAAGGTGGCAAGATGTTCCTCCACACGAGCGATGGCGGTCATAGACTTGCCGATGCTGGAGATCGACTGACCTGCGCTGAATATTGACGTCATGTTCAATTGAACTGAGTGTTTGAACTTTTGTTTTTGAGATTCAGCAATTAGACCAAATCAAATATTTAGACGACATTATTTATATAAAAGATGAAATTTTTTTCTTAGATTTTTTTGTAAACACGTACAAGATGGTTGTGGTCTACTATCTGAAAAATTCTAGAAATAGAGTGTAGCTGGCGACGATGTGACGAAGTGTCAAATGGGCCATTTCAATTGCAAGAACGTATGCGTACATTCTCGGGGAAATCCGTGAGATTCACATCGCTTGAAATCGTAGCTCTCATCGGCTATCTCTGAGCGAATGACAATCCAAGTCTTGCTGCGAATTATCGTCTGTTCGTCGTTGCTCGGGCGAGCCTGTTCTCTGGAATGAAACACTCAAAATTTGACAAGAGCATAGCTTATGACACAAATTACTTAATCAAGTCCCTTTTTTAAAGCAAAACGATGCTACAAGCCGAAAGTGGCCGGGATTTTATATGATAAGAAATCCGCGAGTTGTAATGTAGTGGGTCAATGTCACTTGGTTCTTTGAAGAGTTTCCTACAGCCATACTTCCTGTGAAAAGAGCATGCCATATCTATGATATAGACACTTCTACTAGCTCAGATTCTAGGTTAACTGGGAGTCGGAATATGTTGAGGATCCGCGCCCGATACTCCTGGCAGAACTTTGTAGTTAGTCCACACAAGCATAATGAGTGATCTGGCTTTTGGCCTGGTCGTGAAGACTTTGAGCTGCAGCGGAAGTGCTGTAGCTCTTTGCTGAGAGAAAACTTACTAAGGTCACCGACCTTCCTTCCTTACTTAGAGCCAATACGGGTGTGGTGGATCGCAATCCGCTAACTCCAAAAGTAACCACAAGGCAAATAAACTCTTCCGTTGGAAATTGAAATGTATTTACTCGCGGCAAGCCGCCAATATATGAATCTCTAGGCTTTCTTTACTAAATAATAAATCCTAAAAAATATGCATAACAACTGGCAGTCCCGCCACGTAGTGGCTTCATGTTACGGTGAAGCCACACCATTGATGATTAATGTAATCTGCACCTTTATATGGTCACTCCATCTTGTGTGATACACCCTTTTATACCAGGGTACGTGTATCCCGTTACATTAGCCCTCAATCAAATATGAGTATCATACCATCGATCGGATAGTTGTTTGTAGTCAACTAGTTTCTCCGCTATGACGGCGAGAATGCGCAGCGTCTTGCCGCCCAAAAGCGCATAACCTTAAAGTTTGTAGATGCACGAGCGCAAGCGCCTCCAACTTAGGCGTGTAATGGCGATGTAGTTTTGAAGCTCAAAACGGAGTCGCGTGAATAACTCAACGTGGGTTCGGTGAGCTTGATAAAGTAAGATCTTTAACGAGGATCATCAAGCGCGATGTGCAAAGTCTCAGCTGAAATGATGAAAACACGGGTCTTCTATCTATGAGCCTGATTGTATGTTCTTGATGACTGGAAGCTCAAGTTATAGTCGACCTTTGAGCCACCAGAGAGTAAACTTCTACAAGAAAAAATGGGTGATCACGCTAGCACTCATGAAAAGTGATAACTGATATCATGAACCGTCGATAGGCTGGTCGACGTCGACTCAGGTGACGATATTCATGGATGGTCTACGTGATAGACCAGCCAGGATATGCCTGTTTCAACCACACCACCGACACATTGAAAACGGGTTTTGCGACTGCACTGAATGAATATTGTAATGGTCGTCTGCTCGAGGATTTGCTCACGGGCCTAGAAAACAGTCTTAGAGTACAGCGAATCAGAGTAAATGAATACGACTATGATATGTCACGATGTTTCTGCTCGCTAGGACAAATATTTGTTATGTTTGAACTCGGTCATATCGCACACGATTGTCATGTGCAGACACCGACAATCGATGCCGATCGACAAGCTAATGCTAGACCACAAACCGTACGATGTGTTGAAGAACAAAAGGGATCAGTAGGTGCTCGAAAGAAGTGACGTGGGCAGCGGCGAGTTATCGCCACTTCAAACCAGTGCATTGAAAATGTCCATCAGGACAAAACCGGTAGATTTCCTGACAGTTTGGTCGTGCAAAATGCAAGAGACATCGAGATAGATGAGCTGAGACTGTTCCGCTGATTTGCGAACCAGTGAAGAACCTTGTCCGCTCGCGTTGTCTGGTTGTATTTTAGACGTTAAAGATATTAGATAGTGCAGCGGGTCTGTCGTAGTGCTTTGCCTAGAGGAAGCTAAGCTAAGGTCACCGACCTTACGTTCTTTCCAAGAACCAGTGCAAGTGTAGCGAATCGCAATCAGCTACTTCTAGGTACTACAGCCTTGCCAGGGCAAACGAATACTCCTTTTCAAAAGCAAAACAATTTAATTGTTTTAGTTGCGGCAGAGCCACCAATGTCGAAAACTCTAGGTTTTTCTAAATAATATAGTAATACCTAATTAATATAGCAAAACGGAATTAAGATAGTAGTATTCATTACTACTGGCAATGCGGCAATGTGAAGGCTTCTTGTTACGATGTAGCCACACCACTGTGAGATTACACCAAATGTGCAATACACAGCTGTGTACGATCGCACAAGATTGTGCGACCCGCACTTTCTTACAAAGGTACGTGTAACCCTGTTACAGGTAGGGAGAAAGTGGTGATTTGTCGTCGGCATGCGGGTGGCAGATAACATGTCAAACCGGTTTCCAGTTTTATTTAAGAAGATCGTAAATTTTGCAAGAGGCTCAACGGCATCATCGATTCGTCATACATTAATCACCGAGACATGAGATCGCTGAGAAGACTCAATCCGTAAGAAATCAGACAAAGAGGCTTTTTGCTATTATTGAAGCTGTTTAATAGGAGCATTCAACGGTTGCATCCGTAAGATATGCCAAAACAACATCTTATTGAACTACCAAGTATCAAGGGATCGACGCCCTTCAGATCGTGTGCATTGCCAGTAATCGAACACCTGAAAAAGTCGCCTTTCAAATCTACCAATGACAGCTGTCCTAAGATATTTCGATTTTATCGCGACCAGACATTTCTGGGTATTTCGCGTTGCGTGTGTCGTTACGTCGGCTGTACAGATGCAATTCGACGCCAAGAAATGTAATTGTGCTATCAACTATCAATTTATTTGTTGAGAATAGCTAAGTTTAAACTTCACGACGGGATACTTCTTGCCATTCAGTATGTCTTTGGTAAGTTTCGAGTGCAGCTACTCGGCGAGCAATAATTTGCGGTTTACACGAGCGAGAATTGCAACAGTCTATCCCTTGCACGATGCGTATTCATAAAATTACCCAGACCAAGCGATCAAGCACGCTTTGCTGCAAACCGCGTCAAAGTCGGCTTTCTCTCTCACAAAGAATAGATCGATGTCTGTCATTTTTTCGAACAATTTTTCTACCGCGCATTACAAGCGAAGGAAGAACATTATTTTCAATGAAGTGCCTACTTAATGACATAATCATAGTATTAAAACACTGTCTCGGCTGAAAGTTGACCCAGACACGGCAATACGGTGTGGTATGCGCTGACTCATCACCCCCTACGACTTCTTACAGCTCATACGATAAAGATCCGTTACTTTATTTATTTTCAAGCTGACGACTGTTTGATTAGAAGGTGAGCAATTCCGAAGAGGCAAAAGTCTCAAGTTGATCATCGGCTCAAGCAAGCCCATCATATCATTTTTTGATTGACGTTTTAGCACAGTCCGTGTCGTGTCTGAATCCGTCGATACCACCCATCCAAAAACTTGCCGTATCGCAGCATCAATTCTTCATACGTCGGTCACAACCTTAATAAATTTTAGTTTTGAGCAAGAATGCGTCCCAAAAGGTTGAGATTTGTCCTTGACATTGATTACAATCGCTTTAGCGTCATTGCTACTGGCTTCGCCAGTTTAAATAGGCACAAATATTGATTGTATCGGTGAAGTTTATTGCCGAGTGAAGCCGTCTCCAATTGCTCGAGCCCTGATAAATCTCTTTCTTAGAATCTTCAAGCTATGCATCGAAGATCGGTTAGTCTCTGATTCTGCCATAGATTCACAGACCACAACGATAATACAACTCTACAATATATATCATTGTGCTGCTGTGGAACAGCCCATCAATGTCGAGGAATCGCCTGTCTATTTTTATGATGTGTTTTGTATTCACGATCTCTCGAAACACACATTGTGAACCATGTTATCCTCTTGTTTTTTGGCGTTTGTTGTTCAAGTTGTTTAACATAAAATCTGAGATGTTAACGGCTGTCCATCCAGAGAATGATGCAGCTATAATTGATGTTTGTATGAATTCTTAGTATTTCAGTAGCGATAATACAGTAGTTGCAACCAGCCAGCAACTGATAGGGGGACAAAACGGATAAATCGCGTTTTGACGACGCATTACGTAGCTTCACCACGATATAGAGTAAGTGATTCCCTTTCTTTCACCTGTCGAAATCGCACCAGTGATTCGTCCTCCGAGACGACATCATTTTTGTTAACTATGGACGCCTACCGCATGTAACCTCAACACTATTACCTGCTCCAGAATATCTTCATTCGATGGTACGATGTGTGTTAGCCTACCAAATCGATAGTGATAGTTCCATATCATCTCAGAAAGGCACAAATGAAAGACAATATCATTCAATTACTAGCTTTCTAACTGAACCCATCGATCTTGAAGTCAACTCCAGATCGACGGTGGAGACTGCCAAAACAAGAGTGATGAGCTTAGTAGTACGAATGATGAGCTATTGTAAGAAAGATGACGCAAATTCAAGTAAAAGCTTGATTCATTGGAAGTTAAATGCCGGTGATGACACCTGCCGACGACTTAGAACTTACCAGAACCATGAATTAGCCACCGTTGTTCAAATAAGTTAATATTGAGGTGAACACGGCCAATCAACTTATTAAAATGTGCCGGTGATGCATATGCTCGTGATACTTTGATTAATCCCACACTTTCTTAAAAGCTCAAACCTATAGCTGCCATCAGAAAACCTGTCGACTGATCTGTTGTCTCACGCTGACGCTTAATTGACAAGGAATACCCCATCAGATTTTTCAAACAAATGAGCGCGAGCAGAGAATGAGTGGATATATATTGAAATTGGATCGAGTTGAGCCTCCACGTTATCAGCAATATTTAATTGAGTTTCGATCAACAGCTGAATGTACAACTCACTTCATTTGATCAAGTCGCCTTAGCAATTTCTTTAACAGATACACCTCTTGTTCTTCTGTAATAGTACCCGCTATCGGTGGGGGCGGTAAGTTTGACTACATTGTCGCTCAAATTTTGGATGCAGAGCCATAATACCATACAGAAAGCCTAAGGTGTTTGGTTTTACCGCACTCATCAGCTTGGCTATCCCGACGACCAAGGTGCATGACAGCACGGCTCGACGTCGGCTATTGATCTTTTGGTCGCATGCAGCAGTATAAGAATTGCTTGAAGTCGCGTTATAATCGCGTCTTGGCTGATCGAGCGACCGTCTCTAGCGACCAACTTCCATTCAGTAAATTATATAATATCCATCGAGCGACATCGTCCCATCCTTGCTGTGTCGGCTGATTATTAAATGCACGATATACGTAAAAGGCTTACCAAAGCTTTTGACACACAGAGCTCGCATCGACAGACCACAGAGGATGGTATTCAAGGCCGTCTCTACGATGCAAAACCATGATCATATCGGGTAACGAGTACTTTACACTTTAAAAGCATCGAGTGGCATCATTCGAGTTGGATATAGCGTATGTTTAACTAATATACACGCTTTGAGCTCCAAAACGATAAAGCCCAACCCGATGCATTGCATGAGGCTAGCAGCTCACGTATCCTGTGGCGTGAGGTAGATGCCGTACCTGAAACCAGCTCAACTGAATTATAGTACACCACCAGCGCTAACTTTGAGCGTTGCTTCGATGATGTGGAGCACATATCTCCACGGATGAATGGCGAAAACGATTACTAAAACTTGTTCTCGCTCTCTTCGGCAGACGTCTATACACACGTGGAGTTTAATCTATCGCGGTATTTGTGCAAGGAATCGCAAGACGATGAGGTCACCAAAATAATACGCTTGGTGCTGCAGAGCTGCTGAGCTTGTCTTCTGTCATGCATGTATTATTCATCGAGAACACTCGCAGAGTTCTTTGTGAGAGGGTACGACATCATTCCTCCAAGATTATATGAAACTTTTATGTCGTCGAAATATTACGACATGGTGATGAGATATCCATCATCATATATTGACAACTTACTTGTCAATGTCTTTTGACCATGGCGACGTGGTTTACGTATAATTGGAGCGCTTGAAAGCTTGAGATTATGCCCTGCCAGATTCTATAAGTCTCCAAAATTATATACTATACTATCATCATAGGACTATACAATCAAGCTGCAAACTAGATTTTCTATTTTAATACTTCTCAAAAATCATACCATCAAAATTAATGTAAGTAAAGTCGCAAATGATGAAGGTTGCGTAAAGTATAGGAAAGGAACTTTTACCAGCCGAACATTTCCAGGAAATCGAATATTTACAGTTCAGTCTGACCCTTTGCATGTTTTTGGATCGGTAATTTGATTGGATGATGTAAATGTCATGTTATCCAAACCACCTGTCGCATAGCTCGTGTCAATCGGTCATCCTTCGGCTTGTTCCAAGTGTCCTACTCTACAAAAAAACAAAGTCAGTGGCTCCAACATTAAATCCAGGGACAAATCAAAGATGCAATTCGAATGCTCTGCGACCTCTTGCGTACCCCATACGGCAGCATTAATAAATCACGTTTGCTGGCTTGCATGACGCTTCCGATGTTCGTATTGTTGAAAGTTCAACGAAAGGCTTCGAAGCTTTGAGTTGGATAGTACATCTCAACTGCGCTTGTGAGATTATTACGCGGAACTCAGTGCAAGAGTTGCATCTCCAATCATCTAATGAATTATAGCTGATGTTTAGATCTAGAACATCCAAAAGCTCAATATTAGTAGCTCCCAAATATAATTCAGTAAATTACAAAGACCTTATGTAAGTTTTAACTGGGGATGCTCTGAACCCATACAAATGAGGTAAAAAGTACACTTGGTTTTAAAAATTAGGGTTTCTATCAGTAAAACGATTTGTACGAAACATAAGTGGGGCGGGGATATCCATCTGTATGTCATAATAGTACGTATTCTAAATAAAAGGTTCCATTTTTGCACATCATCAATATCCATCTGAGAAGGAATATCGCAGTAACACCAGCTGATTCCATCTCCTATTTTGATGGCTCTAAATCATTAAACTAGGATAGAGTCAGAGATGTCAGAAACATAATTCTATCATAGAATCATAGAATGTCTACAAAGTGACAACAATGTACTTCGTAATGACCCTGCTCTTTACGTCACGACCCCTGTACTAATCGGTAGCAAGTCGCCGATTTGGGGCTCACTTTATAAAGCATTTTACTTATCAAGCGAGCAACAATGGGCGTGCCGCCCAGTCACAAGGAGGGCGGCCAGTTCTACAGTGTCACTTCTGTATACACTAACTCAGTGCAGGAATCCATCTATAGTGGTATAGAACATGGTCTTTCGAGTATCAACATGACACAGGGACCTGACGGACGCAATAGTCTTGATAGTCTTGAGCCCACAGCTATGTTAGGCAACAATCGTTTTGTGGCAGGTAGCAAGTTTTTCAACTATCAACAATTTGGGGCACTACGAAAAGGTGGCAGTGTGACTCTCTTTTCCGCCTCGTATTACGGCGTGTTAGTTGCTACAGCACAGAGTAGTCTCATCTATGCTGTTCTTCGATATTGCATGCGTCCGACATTAATGCACTCGCTTCAGCTTCAGCGATCCGAGAGTTCTGTCGTTATCGAGTGTCTTTTAAATATTCCAACAACGCTCAGTTTTTTTCTTGGTCTAATGTCGGACGTTATGCCGATCAGCGGATACCGACGCAAGTCATACATGATAATTGGTACATTATTGAGTTTTCTTATGTGTACGGGTTTAATGATACTCTCTGCGACTGTGGATGTGAATGGATCTACAGAAGATGGACTCAGCAGTTACATCATTTATTATATAGTGCTCATCATGGGTGCCACTTTTGGTACTATGCTCAGCAAGATTGCCACGGATGCTCGCGTCATTGAACTATCACAACGAGAGCCTCTTACAAGACGCGGTACTTTGCAGATCAATTATTTACTCTTCCGTGCTGGTATCGAATGGATTGGACTTTGGGTGTCTGCTATACTTGTCCACTTTGACGACGTTGTTGAGCAGAATTATGCGTTGCGAGTTGATCCGTTTTGGGCATACGCAGTACTAGCATTATTAAGTCTAGTACCAGTGCCATTTGTTGTACGCAATTGTTCTGAGCGAAAAATTCGAGCTGAGCCTAGTTTATTGCACGGAATTGCCGTCGAAGAAGGCGGTGATGGAACGACAACAATGCCAGTTCTTACCAGTGCTTGGATTAAAGCATTTTTTCGCATGTGTCAACAACGGGCTGTATGGCAACTCGTGCTATTTCAGTGTCTCATATTGACGACTACGCGTTTTTCCTTTGGCTCGGCTAATGCTGTCTTTGTACGAATGGCAAATTTGGACCCAGACACAACACTTGTAACCAACGCATTAAAACACGTGACGACAATGGCTTCAATGGTCTTGTGGAAAATTCTATGGCTTAATTCTTCGTGGCGAAAATGTGTATGTTTCGGTATCGCTATTATGGTCATTTCCCAGACTTTTCGCGCTTTTATGATGATTTACGTACCGTCGATTCGTACTCAAGCATTTTACGATACACTTGGATGTATATCTGGATTTTCAGATGGAATTATCACGATATTCTCGCTTATACCTGCAACAGAAATTGCTGAAAATGGATCAGAGGGGGCAACTCAGGGTATGTTGCTGTCATTTCGAAGTACAATTGCAATTGCCATGCGTACTTTAAGTGGTGATTGGTTATCAGACTTGGCTCCAGTCACTTTAGATGATGGAACCAATCATCTTTTACTTTTATTGTTAGTTCTGATTGGGTTTGCTGTTCATACCATGTCATTATTCTCAGTTCTTCTTCTTCCTCGTCAAAAACTTGATGCCCAACAATTGCGCGTTTATGGTGGATATAGTAAGACTGCGTGTATTGCAATTTGGAGTATTTTTATTGTTGTTTTCGCATATGCAATGGTTGTAAACATCGATGCTGTTGCAGACATGGCCAAACGAGTTGACGAACATTGAAAGATATCATATGTTTGGATTATTACCCCTATAGTATTAAGTTTTCGTAGTAATGTTAGATTTATTATTACCTTATTTGTTTTCTACTTTGATATTCTTAAGCACACATTTTACCGACATTTGAAATTTGTTGATCACACCCAAGCATAAGGTAAAGTCGCGTAACTTGATTGAAGAGTAGGAGATTATGTCGTTATGGCTTTATTATCTTGCGATTAGACTAGCACTCAGGTAAAGTAGCGGTTAACGGCAAACATACGCTTCAATTACGATTGAAGGTATCAGCGATTTGGCGAATAAATTAAATGAAGACCACCTGTTGTCAATACTAAGACAGTGATAGATCTGACGCCAGTTAGTAGATTGCGAGTCAATGAATTAAAACATCTGTTTGGTTGTATAAACAGAATTGCTCAACCCTGCGTTGTTAACTTGCTTTCTTCCTCAAAGAACAATAAGCTTTATGCACAGACACATTCGCTTTTGTCACGTGTTCATCTCATTCTTGCTTCGTATGTCTGGTCATTGATGATATTGTGCTTCCACGAAGAATATAGACAATCGTAACGCATCAGATGAAAAAGCTGAGCTGGTAAAATCCTCTATATGGAGAAAGATACTATTACATCTGCGCCGTTGGTTTAGTAATACTCCAAGTATAATAAACTATTTGAAATTTGACACATCTACAGAAAAGATAACAATCTTTCAACAACATAAAACTTTTAAGTATTGATACATTCCCAAAACACCTCATTATCGTTAGCTACATTATGGCGATTAGAGTCCAAAACCGTCACATGAGTGGTTTACGAGCATTAAAATTTTTACCCACATCATTTTCGTTTATTAGTATCTTGGCAAGTTGCAATTAGATCAATTATGCCCAAGACGGCATCGCACATTCCAAGAATGCACTACTATCATAAGCACAATGATATTTATCTGAGCATTATTATACTCTTAACTTGAACATTAGGCTGTGTTTTCCGCGTCTAAGGGTCAACTTTGAAACCTTTCTCTTGGCTTTGGCATAGCTGGAAGACCATGAGTCTCTCAATGGACTTTCAAAGAAATCATACTGAAAATTGGATGAGCTTGGCGCGTTTACAAAGTTGCAGTTGGATTGGATTTGTCTAGAATCGATATCTGCAATGCAGCTGGGAGCCTTGGACGAGAGGGTGGTTGTGAGCTGCGGTCTTCCAATTCATTCTCTGATAGCATGCAAGTAAAGCGACTGTATGCCGCGGCCTCCACCGTTATCCTATAATATAGCGGCGTTAATATAACTATGACGGATTTTAGGGATTGATCTCATTATATCAAACTGGGACGCTTGAAACGTTCCCGAAGCGAGAGACGACTGTGAGCCAAGAGGAGAAGGATAAGGTCATGACATTGCTGGGTTACTTAACTCGAAATGTTTAGATGAGTCAGTAGTACCAAGTATCAACGTTTACCAAGAATATAGCAAACACATTTAGGTTGGGTAACTGGGGTGATCCGAGAAATACCAGTCTTCCATCTCTACTTCAGGTTGAAGCTCCCGTTGATCTTTTGATTCATCAAGATGATTAAGGTAGCACGAAGGAGAAGCTGAGCTCGTCATACTTTCTGAATCAGACCACACCTAAAAAGCACCGTGTAGCGGCTATTTAAAGATTTTTGGATTCATTTTGACGAATATCTCGGCAATTCTCACCAGGATATTGTATTTAGATTAGAAATCACACCATGCATTGGCGTGGACCTGGGTCCACACATTTTGAGTCACTCTTATCTTCTCTATCAGGAAAACAGTGTAACGACATAGACGATTTTTCGGTGCATAGCGCAGATTGATTTGTGAGAGACGTACTCGGTGCCGACTTTCTGTCCCAGATAGGCGAACGGTAATGGCGAACCGTGTGAGCCCAGGAGGTTGCAGCCATCGTTAAGACGCAAACGTCATTTTATGAAATTGACGTGGTGCAAACAGTACGGTTGGCAGGTTGGAATGTACTCATTCATAATCATTTAGAATATGAGTAGCTGGATCTGAATATCCATAGTAAAAGATAGAGCACAGTGCTTGAGTGTATGCGCCCAGATGATTTTTCTTACCAACGGAGACAGACGCCGACAAAATATTGAAAGCATGACCCGCGGCTGGACCTCACGGATTTCGAAGCTGTTTTGCGTTGGCCAGTCTCGCAGTCTCAAAGGTGTCGCGGAGGTGGCTTGACCTAGCCTACTATCTTAAGTGCGCTGCAAATTATGCCAACACATCATGACCCCTCGTCGGTTTCGAAGCAATGATGGCTAACGCTGCTACGAAGGGGTGACGTGAAAAGCTGTGGAAGAAAATCTCATTTATGTTCTACTTCTTGTTATTTCCAATCTGAATCGACCATCCATGCAAAATGTATCGTAACATGTAATTTACATCCAGCGTATGCGAAAGGATATTTACCCGGCACCACACATCAATATTGCTAGCCTTCAAGGCGTAGAAGATCAACTCAGCTTCTTACAAACGGACACTCGCTAAAAGTATGCTCTCGTCAAATGAGGTGCATATCTTATCATCTCGATGACATGAGTACAAATAATGCGTCAGAAGGCTCGGTGACACCGTCACTACATTTATCTGAGAGTGACAAGATGGCTATCACTTTTGGCCCAGTCTATCTTTAAAAATAAGCCGGAACAGTTTAAGGTGGTGAATGCGCTTTCGCGTCGTTCAGAACTTGAGTTATTCCATGTGACGATGGTGACATCGAATATTGACAATGCTACTTGTGCAGCGTATGAGTCCCACACCGTGCATTGAGCAATATATAGCTTTGAAATATTCGAGCTCGGATGCTGCTCAATTGATGCGATTAATAGCGCATTTAAATTGCATTTCGTTGTCATATATATTTTTACATCACAGCACACATGTGCTTGACACAACGTGCAATAGTCCCTCACGAACAAAGATAAGTGAATGAGCACATTATTCGAACGAGAAAGCGTGTCACAGGATAAGCTCTGGCTGCATGCTTCAGCTCCCTTAATCAGTGTGGCTGTTCCGGCGCATTTGGGACAACAGTTTTATTCGTTGGACACGCGTCCAGTGTTATGACACGGTAGTCATTACAGACCGTTTTAGCGTCAATTAGGCTCATAGCGCTGCCGCGAGCATTATCCTCACCGTAATGTACCTAAAACAGTTTATTTTCACATGGCTTGCCTGTGGCATGTGTCTATGATCGGCGCTCAACAACGAAACAGTGACAAACTTTGCTCAAGGTGCTTGAGAATGGGATCAAGTCTGCTCACAGCGAATAGTTTGCAGATTGATCACTGATAAAAGTTTGCTCACCGCGAAAAATTCGCAGAATGATGGTGGATGTATAGCTGCTCAAATGGACAATTTGCAGACCGATGGTTGATGTTTTGTGGCAACGGATATTAAATGAAAAAAAATACATGAGTGAACGACATCAGTGCCAGTGCGATGGATTCCCACCCATGAGTTTGCGCTGAATAACTCAGTTCGTGTATCTACCGACTCTACACAATTTTTTCAAATATCTAATTTATCAACCCTTTCCTCTAGCATCTCCACGAAGTGTTATATGTTGGTGAGGAAAATTGCCAATAATATTTGATTTGCTGATATCAGTACGGCTACGTTCCAGAGTATATATATAATTCCTATTAAAGAGGCGGATTTTTTGCGCCGAGCGCGCGGCGATATGGCAGACAGATGCGGCCAAAATTCGAATGAGTGATGTATTGAGTTGATCACATTAATTTACCTGTACAAGTCGTTATGCAGTCTTTGAGGCGACGTTACGTTCTTGTTAATTTGGATTCTTCATGAACGTACAGCAAATGTGATATTGCTATACTTTGAATATGCTCGAAATATCCGAGTATACCTTGCGTATTATATAGTATTACAAAAGTCGTATTACTTTGTTCTTGGCTATACACATGCGATCAAGGTTGCCCGAACGCAAGGCTTGTTGTTGAAGATAAAGTTACGCTTTGGCAAACTCATCAACCATTTACTAAAACATTTATCCGGTTTTGAATCGCCTCAAGCAGATAGGTTTCATTTTTGTGCTCTTAAAGTAGACGACTGATGCCCACAACAAGCGCATGCTGAAATTCTCAAAAAGGTTCGACGCGCATAAATTGATCCCGAGCTTGTGGAAGCCGATTGAACAATAGTTTTCATTTGCCAGCTTTGTTTAATATGTATGACAACACTCAATTCCATGTAAAATACAATTGTTAGTCTGCGGTTTATCAGGGTCACAAACTGAATACAGCGGATTGAAAGGGTTACCCTCACTCGGAAAGCTCATGAACATTGAGATCTTACTGTGGCCAGATTGACCTGAGTTCGTTGATTGACATCACTCGACACACTCTTTGAGGCAGAGCGGTGCAGCGCAGCAGATTTACTAATAGCAACCTGAGTTTTGTTTTGCTCCATGCTCGAGACTAAGCCGGTAGATGTAGCACGAGATTTTATTAATCAGCAGAGCTGTTTACAGCAATATCTGGAGCTGTTGAGGCCTTAGGCAGTGGCGATGTCTTACTTTGGCTTTCGCAAATTTGAATTTGCCATGAAACGGATTTTAACGCCGCAAAATGGATAAGATAGTACTCTAACCAGCGCTCAATCTTCAAATGCATACTTGTTGCCGGCAAGTTCATTTCGCTAGGATGCTATACCAGGTACATATTCGGTGAACCCCGTGAAGATTAGTATCATTGTAAATTGTTTAGTGCAACAATCCTGAATGGACGTTATTACATGGTTTGGCTTGGTCGAATGGTTGCACAAACATAGTACAAACTAAATCGATATGGCATGGCTCCGTACCAATCTCAATCTTCTTTGATATATGTTAAAAACTACCAGGAAGGTAGCTTTTGAACATGTAAAAGATATTTTCATTTGTGCTCTTATTTAGTCCCGTCTGAAGTGGAGAAGGCCGTTTCACGTTGTCTCTGACATTTTGATTATTGTCAAATGCTGTGCTTTACTTTGAGCAAATGCTGATAGACATTCAGACGTCATGCTTTGGAATTTTACAGAATTAAGCGGCATCTGAGAGCGATCAAGTTTATAACAAGATGTTATATTATGAGTTTCAGGGTGCACCTGCCTGACTTGAATCCAACTGGGTCTATACATATTATGTTCATTGCCGCACACAATGATGTCATCACCACACCTTACGCAAAGAATGCCTAACATGCCTGCAAGCTAAAGACTCAGCCTAATCGGCTTAATACGGTGGCTAGTGCGCTTTTCTTACTCCTCGACATGAAACTATGGCATCTTACGATAGTAATGTCGCGATTTGACGAGGCGATACGATCGGCGACACGGTCTGATGCAATATATTGTGCATCGTCGAAAACTTTAGGAGACGAAAAGATTACGAACGTGGATGTCGCTGTGTTAAAGAATCAGAAGTATGGGTGCCGCTATCTTCCTGCTCTGGGTGTGAGAGGCCGAGATAACTATGGCATCCGCCATGCCTCAAGACGAGCATCAGCGAGTAGCGCTAGCTATCTCCAAGCTCGAGGACAGAGCGCGAGAATCGGCATTATAATAAGGTGCTTCGGTTGAAGCTGCGTTTCCCTCCTGGATGGAGCTGAAGCGTCAGCTTGTGCGAGTGTTCTCGCCGCCTAATCAGGCGTATCGCGTACGATCGCGTTTCCTTGCTGATGACAGGGCACGAAGGAGTTGGTGGATTTTGGCCAAAAATTGCGTACTCTTATTGCCGGGATGGCAGCAGAGTCTCTTCCCGAGGCGGTCACAGTGACCGTCGTTATGGAGAGCCTCCGCACTGGCGTGACCAGAACGGAAGTCTTCCGTGTGCATCCGTCTTCTTTTGAAGAAGCGGCGAACGTGGCATTGAATGCCGAATATAACATATAGTGTCAGCATGACTTGGTTTGAATGCACACCCTCAGAGCTCGTCGAGTGAGCCTGGGGAATGGATCTCAGCTATGCTAAGAAAGAGCAGGGAGAGCTCCGAGTGCCGAGCTGCGGAGCAGCGTGTAAACAGCCGATGGTGATTTGTCCGTGGTCACACCCATCACTTTCGGACTGGTTGTCCCCTGCGCAAGGCGCGTCAAAACTCTTCGAACCGACGTCCCGCTACTAACCAGTCTGGTTTGACGTAGGGAAACGAGAAAGCCCTCAAAAAGGTAGAGGGCAGTAGGACCCAGCCCCGAAGAGCTACGTGCTTTTAAACACGAAACGTGTATGCAACCCGGGCTTCCTGGTCGTAAAAGCGATCGTGAAGAGTTTTGAGAGGCCATCAAAAATTTTCATCGATTTCGGGGCGCCGGACATGTATGCTCGACGCTCCACGATCGAAGAAACTGAGCTGTATGCTGGGGCGCTGGAAGCGCGATTGAGTGACACCGTCACTGTTCGCTTAACGACGGGGACTTGTGTCACTGTGCCGAGGGTCCCTGTGGACCTCGGTGTCAGGTGTCATGACTTTGACAGCGTACAACGCTGCTTAGTCTTAGACTTGGATGCAAGGAATGACCTTATCCTTGGCATGGCATGGTTGAAACATCATGAGCCATGAATTGATTGGAGGTCAAAGACCTTGGGTGCTACGCGCATGTCTCCGGTGGAGCTTTGGTGAGTCATGAACCCACCTCTGCTAGAAAGCAGAAGCGCTACTAGCGCGGGCACTGGACCGGGGCGGTCAGTGTGCTGGATATTGGATATTCCGATTTATCAAACGCCGAAGTTGTATCGGACAGGGGTCCCTAGCATGGGCTGAGGGCGGCACGTATTGATTTTTTGTTTAAGTTTAGGCATACTTTTATAAAATTAAATTAATTTAACGATCAATTTCACCAAATACAACATCTAATCCACAGAGCGCTGCTCAACTATCGGAGCAGTTTCTGCATGCCCAGAGTGACATGGTCGGACGAGGTCCGGGGCATCAAGAGCGAGGCCCATGTGATGCGCGTGGAGTGGCACGTTATCCGCTTAGCAGTGCTCACGTTTCTAAGCAGTTGATGCATGCCAAGAGTGGCATGGTCGGACGAGGTCCGAGGCATCCTAAGCAAGGCTGTTCTGATTTTGAGTGGCACGTGATCTACTGGACGAAGTCGAGTGCGTGTTTCCACTGGTCTCGATGACTGTAAAACCTCTATTGAGAGGAGACAACAAAGCCGTATGCTATCGGACAGCGTCGACCCTGGCCCAGGGTGTGTCTACCATATACGATAGTGCGCAGATATATCCTTGTCAACAGTATGACGGGAGCGAAAGACGGTGACGTCACCTTTGAAACTATTCCCGTGATGGATGTTCTTCTTGAGCTGGACGAGATTTCCTTCGAAGGGTTTAGCGGTGCTTGAAGGCAGGCAATTTAGCCGAGGTGGTCATTGTAAGACCTCACGAAAAGGTTAACTCGTCTTCGCTTCTGAATGAAGCTGTCCTGGAGGACATTAAAGGGGTGCTGAACGCACAAACTGAATCATCGATCCTGTAGCATCCCTCGGATCCGTAGTATCCTTTGGAAAATAAATTTCACGACGTCGACTCAAAAAATTCGCCTTCTGTCCTACCTTCGGACCGAGATGTGCGTCATGAGATTGACCTGGTCCCGGAAACCAGATACTGCGTAACGTGCCAATGGCCCCTGCCCAAGGAGGAAAATAAGAGCAGTGTGACGTCTTTGACGCCTTCTTCCGTGCAAAGCACGAGTTCTTGAGAGCAAGTCTTCTCATTCGACACCCACGTTTTGTATCTGGAAGCTGAACGGCAAGTTGCGTATTGTTCACGCTAACAACATGATAACTTCCCGCCTACCAGACTGAGTACATTTGCGATGCGAAGACTGGAAGCCAAGCCATAGAATATGCAGACAGAATATGCAGACGAAAGAGGAAGAAGTATTGTTGGAAATATTGAGGCCGGAGACCTGGTTTTAACAAATGCTAAAACCTTCCTACACGTGCAGTTTCAGCTGTCTTTAAGACGAAGGTCCGTCCACGTTTTTAAGGTTGTGGACCAGCGAGGCCTAGCGTATACGCTGAACCTTCCGAGAAGGATGCGCACCGATTTATGTGGTCTTGCTTAAGCCGCACTGGGACCCGGTGCAATTTAACGCGGAAGAGCTGTGCGTCGGGGCGGCGCTCAAAGGCGCTCGGCCACTCAGAAGTAGAGCCAGCAACTGGTTCTGGTCACGGAGTGCAACAACTTTCGTTTCCAACGGCGATAGGCCTACACCGTCACATGAAGTGACGTATTCGCCTGCTCGATGCTTAGGAGCCACTCCGACTGAGTACGATAATCCTCAACGTGAGGCAGCTGGTGCATGCCCCAGGCTCTCGAGGTCTCCGCACAGCAGTAGACGACCTCGGAGAGATGCTCGGCAAAAAGCCGATGACGAAGAACTTTGGCCTTCAACGCTCGAAGAGCTTGCGAGTCACCGGACGGCGATGGGCCACGTCGTAATCGTCCGCCACCGACTCTTCTTGGTGATAATGGTGACGTCTACTAACACGTGGATCGCCTTGTAAGTTGACGTCGTCTACAAGGTTAAACCCAACATCTTATTAAGTGGCGGGGATACCCAAACTCCGAGAACTCGTGGGAGTTTGAGGTGCCACTTCGGCACGTCGTAGACGCTTATGATTAGAAGAATCATGACGATCCACGTCGTCGTGCACACCGCGCGTCTTGGTAATAGTCCGGGACTTCGGAGGGTCATGAGCTGAGCTCAAGCTATGGCTCTGACTACTGTGGTCGTAGACTTACCCGTGTGAGAAGCCACAGAGCTCGCAGGAGCGTGATAGAATTTCCATATGTCTCAGGGTGACAATACGCAAGAAATCGGCGTTGCACCTTTAGTTTAGCAAGCTCAAATCTAAAATGGCGCTTAACGCGTGCGTCCGCTTCCTTGTGGGTTTGCTGTCAGGTGGACAGCGAAGAAAGTTTCCGGTGCCGCTGCACCCGTCGCTATAGCTCATCATCAGTTTTACCGGAGGCGAGCACCAAAATACTGGTCCGCATTGCGAAAATAAGAGCATCTCCGTCTTGAGCTCGAAGTGAGATCTCTTGTGGTAGAAAACGCAAGCTCGCAAAGGTTTTCGCTGATCAAGCTCAGCTTATGTAGTGGCCGGAGACGACTACGTAGACACCTTACGATCGAGTTTTACGCGTCTTTCGCTCGAGTAGCGGGATTCACCGAGCAGAAGCCGTTTTCCCCACGAGGGTCTAAGACCTAACGTGGATAAGAGCGCAGCAGAGCCGCCCTGTGAGCAGTCCCCAATTACTGCTCCCGTCCCTCGTCGAGGCGATTAGTAATAATGCCACTTTTACCGAGAACCGAGAGGTCCGGGAACGGACGGTTTCCGCAAAGATTATGCTGGATTCACGTCGCACCGTTGGCGCACGACATCTTTCTCTTCATTCCATACTGGGAGAAGAGTGTTCGACTCGTAGTCGACTTTCTCCAACTCCTCGATGAGGAAATCCGTGGCCTGGGGTGGGTGCGTTGTGTTGCGCTCAGTTGCCGAGAGCTTGGAATGTGCTACCGTGAAGCGCGGACGTACTTTTCGGGGATGCACCTTGTGCAGAAGATGAAGGGCTTTGCCCGCGGACACCCTTGCTACCAGCTTGGCTGAGTATTTTGCATGTCGTAGACACAAGGCTCATAGAGTGGAGATTGGTGACTCTGCCGCAACTAAAACAATTAAAAACAGTTTCAATTTTGAACAGAAGTGTTCGTCTGCCTTGGTCAAGGTTTTAGTACTTTGGAGGTAGCGGATTGTAATTTGCTACACTCGTACTGGTTCTTGGAAAACGTAAGGTCGGTGACCTTAGCTTAGTTTCCTCTAAGCAAACAGCTACGACAGCCCCGCTGCAACAACAGAGGGTATTACGACTTCCCACAAAGAGACCCAGCTCTTTTATTTCAAGACCTGCGTGACTCAGAGCTAAGCTTGCCCATATACAAGCACAAAAGCCACAACACTTTAAATGTAGTAATTGTCGCCGATTTGAGACGCTCAAACGCCTATGCATGTGAGCTTTTAGATGGGAACGTGCGCTTGAAAGTCGCTTTGGAAGCTTTGTGACCTCACTGGTCAACACTCATCAGGGTACCGCTTGCGCCTAGATGAGCAGTCAATGAAGTATTTCCGTACCCTTTTGAGGAATAATGTGTTTGTTATGGCAGACTCGTCGAGTTGAAGCTACTTTAAAACGGCAAACTCACGACAGCTTTAATAAGGAGTAAAAAATGCGCATCGATTGCCGACTTCAGCTAGCATTGATATTAAGTACATCACGATCTGACTGGATCAGTGTGCAGTAGTTTCATTCTTTGTATGTTTCAACGCGACTCTTCAAGTCGGAGCGTCCTACGTGTGAGGTGCCTCAGCAACTGAGATGCTCTTTATATTCAACTGAGTGCCATTCGGACATTTTGGTTCTTCCAAACTGAAGTGAAGTGACACAGCTTGTGTCTCGTGTAATCATACTCAGCTACAGATAAGAGAAAGGATCCTGCAATTTCCGCCATTGCAGTCCACTTAAGTCGCAATACGCTAAAAAAATCCAATTTGGATCGCGTCACAAGAAGAGATTTTTAGAACATTTGTAGTTAAACGAATGACGTTTTACCCAGTTGCTGCAAGAATATTTAACAGGTGAGTTAATATCGTCAATGAAAGTTATGATTGATGTGGTTGACGTAGCTTACGAATGTATTGTTTTTACTATCAGTCAAAGCTATTAACAAACCTCAAATCAAAACTGCACAACTTCTATTCGTTTTTAAGTTTGTCTTTGATTTCTTTCGTGAGATTGTGGCGTTTCACACGTGAATATGCATTCACATTGTCATCCATGACGTAATTTACCATCACTTTAATCCATGAGTCGTGACTTGGTAAATTCTCGTAAAACTCAGGCGCTAATGCACGTAACTCATGTAAACGTGAGCCAGCAACAAATGGAAAGTCATGATGTTCATTGTGCAACCCAACGTTAAACGTGAGACGATTAAGAATACCATAGTACGAATACGTTTCGTACCCCAGGATAAACTCGTAATGTTCAGCAATAAAATGTCCTGCTACAGGATGAATACCAGCACCCAGTAGTGATCCCAAAATGAGGTAGCATAACCCCGATAATCCACCATAAAGGTAGATGACATAATTGTAACCCAAGCACACAACAATATTGAAGAATTCCCACAAACCAGGTGACTTTGGATTCACAAATAATGGACGAATCGCGTAAAAAAGGAGTTGAAAGACTACAAAGAAAAACTTTGTGACTTTTGTTGTAAAGAACTTTGCCTCCAATTCGGATGGTAGATCCATATCCACCCCATCTTCGCCTTGATACCGATGGTGTTCAAGATGGTATCGCCTTAAAGAAATAGACGACGGTAAACCAATTGGTAAATTAGCAAAGACACCAAGTAATCGATTGTGAAATGGTTTTTTAAATCCCAAATTGTGCGCAACTTCATGCATGGCCATCATCATTCCATGATTAGCTGTACCACTGATGCAGTACATGAGAACGAGATAAAGAGGCCACGACATATACTGAGCATAAAGTGCCAAGTATGTTTGCAATATCACAGTTGCCGTAACAATGTACTTTGTCTTCCAACAATGACCAAAAAGCTTTTTCACTTCCGGATATTTCGCCATGATCAATTTGCGACGCGTGGCATGAGGTTCATCTGTTGGTGTCCAATGAAATTCATGTTGTGGTTCAAATGCCTTGATATATTGAGGTTTTGTAGTCTGAGGTACAACAAGAGCCATAGGTGGTAACGTACTCTTCTCTACCTTACACATAATAAGATATCCGGATTCTTAAGAGATCTGTTGTGATACTGATCCTCTCGGCGCTAAATCGAAAGTGGTACGTATCTCGTAAGATAGGTTAGAAAAATACCGGGCAATTAGAAATTAACAGAAATGATTACCATGTATACAAATTTGAACTGTCTTGTAGCAAATCGAATTTGTTAGGTCATATTATTAAAAAGTCAAAATTATACAACGAGACAACAAATTCAAGAAATTAAAAACTGATCAATGAAATTCATTTTCAATGCTAAAAAAATCTTCACGAAAAAAGTATGAAATTCATTGTAAATTTCATTACGTTTGCACAAGTTTTGGTCCATTTGGATTCCCAAGTGTAAATAAACGAGGGGCAATCGACATGGACATCAATTCTTGAAATAGCAACTTACACGAGTATGGAATGTGAACTTGTGAAATCTGCGTCTTGTTACGGCATGTACGACATTCAAATGTCATTTTTCGTAAATTTGCTATTGCAATAATTCCACAAATATCACACACATGAACACGATAAGCATCCGAATTCGCAAAAAGACGATCCATTAAGAAATTAGCAGAACCATGCGATATCAAACAATCACGTTCCATTTCACCCATACGCAAACCACCTTCACGAGCACGTCCTTCCATAGGTTGACGTGTTAACATTGTAACTGGACCACGTGAACGAGAATGAATCTTATCATCAACCATATGTTTCAAACGTTGATAAAACGTTGGACCAATAAAAATCTGGGCTGTCAAACGACGTCCAGTATGACCACTATACATCACTTCATTTCCATGTTTTTGATATCCAAGATTATGCAAAGTATCCGCAATGGCTTGAACCGTTACATCAGTAAATGGTGTAGCATCTCCTTCATCACCTGTTTGAGATGAAACTTTACCAAGTAAACATTCAACTAAATGTCCAACAGTCATACGTGATGGAATAGCATGAGGATTGACAACAATATCAGGTGTAATCCCTTCCACTGTAAACGGCATATCTTCTTGACGATATGTCATTCCAATCGTACCCTTTTGTCCGTGTCGTGACGCAAATTTATCACCAATTTGAGGTATACGAATATTACGAAACCTCACTTTTGTAAATTTAAATCCATCAGCATTCGTCGTAAGCATGACACTATCAATAATTCCATTTTCATGTGATCGCAATGCTGTACTTGCATCACGTTTCTGATGACGTTGCTCTAATGATGAATCTTCCGATACTGGTAATGGTGACGTCTTCCCAATAATAATATCATTACCACTTACACGAGTACCAGGAGCAACCAATCCATCATTATCAAGTTTGTGATAGCTTCCATGACGCAAGCCAAGACAATTATCTCGCGAAGGTTTTTCAAACTCTTCACAATTTGCACCTCCTGCACCTCCACCAGGTCCACCATGTGGACTCTTGTTCCGTTCTTGATCAACATAACAACGATAGAATGTTGAACGAAAGAATCCACGATCAATAGCACTTTGATTCATGATCAGTGAATCTTCCTGATTGTATCCTGTATACGATGCAATACCTACAATCGCATTAATTCCAGACGGCAATTCTCGAAAGTGTAAATATTCCATAGCACGCGTCGTAACGAGAGGTTTTTGAGGATAGTTAAGTACATTAGCCATCGTATCCATTCTTGCGCGAAAGTTTGAACAATAGATTCCCATTGCTTGTTTTCCCATAGCAGATTGGTACGTATTACGAGGTGATTGATTATGATCGGGGAATGGAATAATACTAGCACAGATACCAAGGATCATAGATGGATGAATCTCGCAATGCGTGTGGATCTGAGAACCAATACCAACGTCTTTTGGCTCCATGGCTATCATACAAACTTCCTCTTCTTCTGTATCAATAAGCTCAACGACACCATCTGTTAATAAATTGTGCCAGCAATAATTCGTAATCTTATGATTCTGAAGCTTCACCACTTGTTCTTTCTGTAACAACAATTGATTGTCTTCAACAATAAACAATGGACGACACACGCGACCAGCATCCGTGTAAATACGTAGCTCCTTATTCATTAGATCTCGAATGACTGACACTTCAGCATCGATGTCGACACAGCGACGTAGTGATCGTAACGTACGAATCAACTCGTTTGGCTCACGATGAACTCCTACCCAATTTCCATTCACAAAGATCTTTGTCGAATGTGGAATGATCTGAGGTTTGATCTCTTCCAGATTCTCAGTAGCCCACTCTTCTAGAAACTCTAAAATTGGAGCCTGTGGTGATCCAACAGAAATATACGCCATTAATGCTAAATTCTTCACAAGACCTACTGCCTGTCCTTCGGGTGTCTCTGCAGGACAAATCATTCCCCAATGCGTATTATGCAATTGACGAGGTTGAGCTTGTTTACCTTCACGACCAAGTGGCGTGTTCAAACGACGCAAATGTGAAAGTGATGATGCATACGTTAGTCGATTGAGCACTTGTGAGACTCCAGCTTTAGACGCACTCTTTTGCATTCCCCAATTTCCCGTCGCTAAGGAGTATCGTAATCCATTTGTAATCGTTCGAGAACGAATAGCTAGCGTCAAATTGAAATCTTTGCCATTATCCACACACTTTTGCAAGAACGATTTGACATCTTTTGTTAATTTTTTAAACAAGACACGAAAGAGACTACCAAGTAGTGGACCAGCAAGATCAAGACGTTTGTTTCCATAATGATCACGATCATCTTCACCAATGCGACCCAATGAACACATGAGAAGTTTATGAACAACATAACCTAAGAAATAAGCTTTTTTCGTCTCATTATGGTCTTCAACCCCAACGTGAGGTAGCATTTCTTTCTGTAAAATGTCTTGAGCATAACGTATACGATCTGCTTTACTCACATTAATTGCACTTCCTCGACGTCCAATAAAATCCAAAGCCACTTCTTGTTCTTGAATCACAAAAGCTTCTTCAAGTGATGATTTAAAACGTTCCATTAGTTCAGCATCTGAAAAGTCATAACAAATATGTTCAAGAATCTCCCGATCGGCCACAAAACCAAGAGCACGAAAGATAATAACAACAGGAATGTCTTGACGAATGTATGGAATCACAGCACGTATTTGATTTCCCGTAATCGCACTTTTGCCACCTCCTTTTTGATACATTTGAACGTACATAGTACTTGTTGGACGTACACCATGTTCCACATGTGAACGAGTTTCACAAACCCAACTATACTTGGATGCTGCATTCTTTCGAAAACAATAGACGTGATTATTACTCATACGTTCTTGTGCAATCAAAACCTTTTCACTTCCATTAATAATAAAGTAACCACCTTGATCATAGATACATTCGTTCAATTCCGTCAATTCTTTATCCGTTTTATGCGTCAGAACACAATATTGTGAACGTAACATAATTGGCACCATTCCAATAAATTCTTTCGGAGTTTCCACTTGATCATATGGATCCATATCTTCTAAATTCGCAGGTCCTGATGTTGGAGCTTGATACTTTTGACACACAACATCAACATAAAGTGGAGCAGAATACGTTAAATTTCGTAAACGTGCTTCATGTGGAAACATGACACTTGTCGAACCATCAGCTTCAGTCATTGTAGGCTTAGATAAGTAAATTTGACCAAACGAAATGTTATAAATCGTATCAGTATTTGTTTTCGCTTGTCCAGGTGCATATTGTGCTTCTGGATTAATTCGAATCGAACGCGAATCATCAACAAGTTCTTGCATTGTATTTTGAATAAATTCATCAAATGAATCAAGTTGTTGACGTACAAGACCTTTTTCTTCAAAATAACTTGAAATCACAGCCCATGCATCTTCTTGAGAAACAGATGCACCAGGTGCAAGACCAAGCTCATGATTCTCACGCTCTGTATCACTCTCAATTGGATTCTCCCAACTCATTGACTTGGTAGTAAGGAATTAAAGGTCGTGACGGGGGGAAAAGTATAAAGTATAAATTTGGAGTTACATACCGGTATTCAACTACTATACGACTGTAAACGTATACTATACACTAAGTATATCCGGTTATGGAAAGAAGCATGTGGGGCTAAGCACAAACGTACAAATTCCAACTTAAGCACAGTTTCGGAAGTGAGTGTCTTCATTGTACGCACGATCAAGTTCTTTGATTATCGTACAGAATGTCGTCAGGATTGTGTATTCAATGGATTCGCAATGAATTAGAGACGCATGGTGATCTAAAGGAACTTTCACCACCACTTGTTGAGACCAATTCGTTGTGCGAGTTTGTGACCGATGGGCGTGCTTTGTGTCTACTAACTAACGCTGTTTTAGAAGGGGAAGAGGATGAATTACCCAAGAAACTTCAACGCTCATTACGTCAGCTAAGTAAGTTTCATGCACTTGAGCGTGTACAATTTTTTATCAAATGGTGTCGTACACGTGCGAAACTTGAGGAACATCAAGTATTTACGACTGTTCAACTTTTGGACGAAGTAAATGAAGTAGCTGTGTCCGAGACAATCATTGCTTTGCGTAATAAAACACGTCCAGGGTATAAAGCTACGAGTGTTTTATCACAATATCATTTTAACGGAGATAAGAATCGTACGACGAGTCTTTCCAGTACAACCAACTCAAGTGCGAACAATGCGAATCGTTTGAGTTCATTCCTTAATAAGTTTCCATCTGCTCCGGTCGTGGCTACAAAATCTGCTAAACCATCAACTGTGCGCGTGTCTCTTACCTCAAGTGTCAGTAGTACTTCATCTCCACGTGAGCTAGAAGAACCTGTACCAGATGAAGATGCGAATTCCAAGTCACGACTTCGTATTCCCTCGATTTTTAAAAGTAACAATACCGCGTCTGGTACACCACGTAGTAGTGTTATAAGCAATACATCATCGACGACTTCGTCAAGCAAAGACGACGGTCCAGAGTCACGTTCACGTTCGTGGTCCAGTAAACTTTCAGCATTCTCACGTAGTGTCTCGTCGTCCAATTCGTCAGCTCCTCATTCGAGTCCAATAGGAAATGACGAGGATAATAATACTACACCACCTTCCTCGCCACCACAATCTCCTCCAAACCGTACAAGTATTCCTACAATGCCGACAAAATCTGCTCCAAAGTCATTATCTAAGCTTTCGGCGTTTTTAAGCAGTGTCGAAACGACATTTTCTACTCCTGTGTCAACTTCGCCTTTGCAAGATGAAAGTTTTATGGAAGCTAAGCCAGAAGAGAATTTGAAGATTGAGAATAATCAGGAAGAGCACGATTTTGTTGAGCAAAATGAAGCTGACAAGGATGAGGCGATATCGGTAAAGGCTGAAGCTCCAGAAGAGGAAGATGATTTTGTGGCGGTAGAAGCTGAAGATGCTACAACAGAAGCGGTTGAGAATGATGATTCTAGCGAGAAAGATGAGGGTGCTGGTGATATTAAACCTGAAGAATCTCTTCATGTATTGGACGTGGAAAGAAACACGAGAGAGTCGGAAGAAGAAGAAATATTGACGAGAACGGACAATTTATTGGAGGTGGAGGAACCAGTTTCAGCTGTAGAAGATGTGACAGTGTCGACGGAACTTGTGCAACAAAACGATCGTCTTGTGATGGAGAATGCAGCTCTGGTACAAAAGCTTCAGACTTCAGAAGTGATTGTAGCAGCAAAAGATACAGAATTGGAAGTATTGAAACAACAAATCGAGCAATTGAAGAAACAACTTGATAAGGAACAGATCTGTACACAAGAAAAGCAGTTGGCGGCTGAAAAGTTGGCAGCTGAAGCTGCTGCCGTTCGTGCTGAGCTTATTACGTCACATGATGCGACGGAGACGAAGGAACTGAAGGAAGCCAAAGTGCAAGTTAAAGAATTGACAGCTCAGAATGAAAGTCTTTTGATTGATTTGGCGAATTTGCGCGAAGAATTTCAGACGCTCGAGCAATCTGTCCAACTCGCTCGAGATAGTGAAGAAGCAGCACGATATGCAGCTCAAGTTGCATTTGCTGCTCGTGATTCTGCAGATGAAATGATTCAACAATTTAAAAACCAGCTCGAAAAGTAGATTTTGGACGACTCGACGGAATAATTCATTTTAATTGATTTGATTTTGTGCTGAAAAATATTATTGTTAGTCTTCCTTATATTATAAAATCAAAGCACTTATATTGAATCGGTTTGGTATCCTGCGAGGCTTCGTCTCAACACCAAAGCGCTAGCAGATCCTACAATCATAAAGAGACACACGACGACAGCAAAGAGTCCGAGAAGATGAAGTGTGCTTTGAAGATAAGCTTGGACGTCAGATGCTGACCATTCGGGACATTTTCCACATTGGGCAATCTAAAAGACAATGTTACGTCGACGAATAAATATTTTTCAACAAGTATTGACATTCACATTACGTACATCATTCGATTCATGACTTTGGTCATTAACGTCATTCAGTAGAGTCATGCCTGTTATACAGTCGCCATTCAAGCTTGAAGCTTCGTCGCTAGTGGATGAATTACACGATACCCAATAGCCATCGATTGTTTGCATGACACCATTGCACGAAATTATTTCAGTGTTTACGTCCGTGCAATTCGTACAACCAGAAAGAGTCAAATCGCACGCTAACGATGAACTTGTGTGTGCGTTGTATGTAGATACAATATGATCTGAGAATGTGAAAGCACTTACAGCGCAGACAAAAAGCGCAATAAGACAGCTGCCGAGACCAATAATGTACTGGTGTTGTCAAAATTAGCAATAAGTAACATATCAATATTCTCTTTCAAGCACTATACGTACAATAAGAAGAAGTGATCTACTCTTCGATCTCGATCCAATAATGCCCAAAACCGAGATTGCAACCATAAATGTCCCGACAACAATAAATATGATGGCTACGTTACAATATCACAGTAAGAACCTGTCCTTGAGCATACTACCATCGTCAATCGTACCAATCCATTTTTGACCAGAAGTCATCTCATCGTGCATTTTGACCACCATTCCGACAATAAATAGCACTGTACCGAGAAGCGTAAATGCAACGTTCATAACTGACAACATACTTCGCATGATAATGGGCACACTAACGATGCGTACGACACAATACATGGACAAAACGACTACCAGCAAACAGATCACTGCAATAATTCCAACAGCAACCATTCGATTGTAAAGATACTCTACTGCATCGTTGTACGTAGTGCAGCATGAGGCTTGTCGCAATCTTGCTAGAACATTTGCCGTCCAGTGATGTTTTACCCATGATTTAAGTGCATCTTGAAAGAAAAAAGCTGCATAACATAGTACGAAGAGCCCAGTCACGAGTAAAAAGTTGATAAAGAAATAGAGCAGCAGCAAGCGACTCCTTTCTTTTCCTGCACCCACAAAGCCTAATATTGAGAGAAGTATAACTCCAAAGCCTAAAGATCCAAGTGCTGCAGCACTATCATTAAAGTCCGTCGTTGTCACAATATCAAGCGCAAGTCCAAGCAAAGAAATTCCGCACACAAAGCTCAGCAATGTCAATAGCCGCAGAAACTTACGAGACGGACGCATGGTTAGCAGCAAGATGAGAGTATTAAAGTACCGGTATTTACCTTGATTTTTGTATAAGATTGATGTAGTCGAATAATCTATTTCGATGGGGTACCTACTAAATTGAGCGCAAGAAGTTACGATTGTTATATTTATGTTTCCTGGCGTTTAAGAGTGTGGGCTATTTTTGAGATCTCTGCATTCATAATATGCTCTATGTCATACTAACATTATCTTTTGAAGTAGTGTTCAATTATGGTGGATAATAGCAAGAAAAAATCAAGTGCGAAACTGACGACATTTCAGCGGCAATCTTTGCTGGAAAAGTGACACGAAACATTTTGCTACGGTGAGCTCAATGCAGTTCTTCCGTCTTATTGTACTTATAACTGCAGTTACTCAAGCTTTTGGTACCTCGTCCGTTAATGATCTTAATGGATGGTATCCTTGTTCAGGATTTACATTTAAAGATGAAGGAGGATCCGGTCATCAAAATGCAGAGTGTGCTGTTTATACAGCTCCGTTATGTTACCCTGGAATATGTACCATACCAACGACAATCGACTCTACTGTTGATATCTTTGTGAAACGAATTGCAGCTGAAAGTGATGTTGAGAAAGCAACAAATGTGTGGTTAATGCAAGGTGGTCCAGGTGCTTCATCCTCAGCAAGTAAGTAAATCTTAGTAAACAAACAAACGATCTTTTGTAACTTTTTTATGATTCACTTTGTAGTGGAGTCAGCAATGGTTGAAATCCACACGAGACTATCGGGAAGTGTAAATGTGTACACTATGGATCATCGTGGAACTGGTCGCAGTACTCTATTGGACTGTGTTGCCGCACAAGTTACTACTACAGGTTCACCTTTTGGCTCATCAATCGAAGTTTCTGAAGTTCCTGCATGTGCTCAAGCACTTGAGAAAAAGTATGGAAATCTCTCATCTTTTTCTATGACAACAGCTGCAACAGATATGGCCACATTTATAGCCAATCACACAAATGGTGTTGATACTATCGTTTATGGCGTGAGTTATGGTACAGCACTGGTAGAGCGCTTGATTCATCTTAATCCACCTAAAGTTATAGGGTACGTTCTAGATGGAGTGGCTACGAGTTCAGGATCATCACAAGAGTACGAGTACTTTTCTACATGGGATGTTGATTTTGGCAGTGTTGGCGATGGGTTTCTTAAACTTTGTGATACATTAAGTGAGTGCAGCACAAAATTTGAGCCAAATCTTGCGAGTACGCTTCAAAGTGTAATTTCGCAATTCGATCAAGAACCAGAGGCGACGTGTGCTGCACTTGTTCGAGATATTTATCGAGACAGTGACGAACCAGCATCATATACAGTACGACGAACTCTTGGCGTGTTGTTAGAAGAAGCAGACCTGCGAACGTTCATTCCACCAATCGTGTATCGATTAGATCGCTGTGCATCAAATGATATTGACATTTTGAAACACTTTTTCACGACTTTACGCTATTATCTCACCTGGTCAAGTGAAGATGATGCATTTGAATCGACTTTGCTTTATTACCTCATTGTCTTTTCGGAAATGTGGGAAAGACCTCAACCAGCTATGTCTAAGATGACTGCAAGATTTACAAATACCCTTGTCTCAGATGGAGGAACATATTCAGATGTTCCACAATATTGTGCTTTTTCCAAAGAGAAATCACCAGTCTGCAATCAACTTAATGTTGGAACGTACAATGCTAATGGAATAATTTACGAACGTGACAAGTACTGGAATAAAAGTGCCAAAATTCCAGCAAAAGCAAGCGTCTTGCTGTTAAGTAGCAAATTGGATCCACAGACACCTCATAAATATGCTGAATATTTGCTTCAAGCTATGTCGGGCAGAAAGGAACTCGTCACTTTCAACCACGCTACCCATGGGACATTGTGGACGACACCGATGGACGACAGCGGTGAGAGTGAAACGTGTGGGATGAAGTTATTGCTTTCCTACGTGAGCAATAACGGAAAATTAGACAAACTGGACAAGTCGTGTGTGGATCAAATGCCTGCTTTTAGTCTCACGCCTCTGCTTATGTACCAGTACTTTTTTTTGAGTACTGAAGATACTTATGACGGAGAATATGATGCGAGCTTGGCGGAACTTGTCACGTTTAATTTTACGGCGTCTGGTACAGCAAAATCCAAGGCAAATAAACCATTTAAAACGGCATTTATCGTTTTTTTAGTGCTCTTCATCGTCACTTTGGCAATCGCTTCTTTCTTCACCTATCGATGGTATCAGCTTAGGAAAGAAAATGTACAGAACCGAGTAACTGATGACTTGCCTGATGACTTTGATGTCTCAACTTTACCCGATACGGAAGCGTCAACAGAACAAAGAGACCCAAGTGACGTTGAAAAGACATGTTGACGAACGTTTTGGTTCGAGTTATTGCTAAGGTCAATATACATATTTTTTCATGTGTGAGATGGCAGCGCTAGTGGATAACCACATGCGTGATCAACAATCTTGACGCTATGTTCAAGACCCCTCATGCTTCGTAAATTTGATTATATTTCATAGAGTATTTGCTTATGAAACTGACGAAAAAGGCATATTCTGAAAAATGATAACCTTCCTAGTTATCAAAGTTTAGAAGAGTAGAGTGCATTACCCAAAATTGTCATTGTCGTCGGTCAAATTATCTACTTGGACAAGGAATCAATTTTGTGCTGGAATCTAGACTGTGATTATGTTATTCAGATCGATCAAATATATACACTTGCTATCATGTGACCTTTTAATTCTATCTAATCATAAGCTCAAAGACAGAATATATTGCTTCTAGAGCAGATCAGCGTTCATGTGTCATACGCCATCGTCTTGATGCCAAGTAGTTGTATACATTGCCGTACACCAACGTAACTTAAACGTAACAGCACCCTATTATGGCAAATGCACACTTGACATTGCCGCCACTTTTGCCCCTCAGACCAAAGTGAAGCACAGAGTACATTATCATGATATGCATAATGATTGGTACTTAAATCGGTTAAGTATGATGCCATTCTGTAGAAGAGGGGTGCGCAGGACACATTGGCTGCTAGTCTAATGTTAAGCATCAAAAGGTTTTTAGTATGATAAATAATAGGGTTTATTGCAAAAGGTGATACAAATAGAAAGTATTCGCGAGATGTGATACAATCGTGTTTTAAACACCATTGTTATG